GTACCAGACTGCCATGACCACTGTGGTACCAGACTGCCATGACCACTGTGGTACCAGACTGCCATGACCACTGTGGTACCAGACTTCCATGACCACTGTGGTTGTAGGTTTTGATATCAGGAGGTGTGAGGCATGCTACTTGGTCTGTCTTTAGTGGTGCTTTATTTACCCCGAGTCTCTGTCTTTTACATGGACAATTGACTAGTTTTACCACCTCCTTAAAGAATGATGTTGGAATCTGGATAAGGACCACATTCTATCTGTAGATTGGTTTGGGTAGCACTGACATTTTTGCAAAGTTAAGTCTTCCTATCCATGGTTATGGTACATTTCACTTATGTAGCTCTCTTGAATTTCTTGTAGTAGTGGTTAATCATTTCTCTGTACAGGCCTTTTGATTTTCTGGTTAGACTTATCCTTAAGTGTTTCATCTTTTGGTTGGCTATTATAAGTGCTATTGTATATTTTAAGTTATTCTTCAGTTCTCTTTGTTAGTATAAGGCAGTGGTTCTCAACCTTCCTAATGCCGTGACCCTTTCATACAGTTCCTCATGTGGTGGTGACCTCCCAACCATCAAATTATTTTCATTGCTACTTCATAGCTGTAACTTTGCTACTGTTATGAATCAGGTGACCCCTGTGAAAGCATCATTCGACCCCCAAAGGGGTCACGACCCACAGGTTGAGAACTGCTGCTCTACAAAGACTCAGAATCACCTAGCTTAGTACTTCTCATAGTTTAGCCTGGATACACATCACTTGGTGGTATTTTCAAAACACAGATTGTGATTGCCTAGGTCTGGGATGGGCGAAGGAGCCCTGGTGGTGCTGTGGCTTGGGTGCCAGGCTATTACCTCAAGGCCAGCCGTTCAAACCCACACCCAACACAAAGGAGAACGATGAAGCAGTTTGCTTCTGTCAAGATTGACAGCTGGGGAAACTCCGTAGAGGGCTGCTGTGATTCAGAACGGACTCGGTGACAGTGTTTCGTTTGGATGTTTGTTGGGTTGTTTTTTTGGAGATGGGACCTGAGAATCTACATTTTCTAATGAGTTTCCAGATAAGGCTGATGCTCTGAGTCGCCAGGCTTTACACAAGCTCGCTGTCCAAGGAGAGAACTGATGGGGAAACAAATGGGAGCATGTCGAAAGGAAAGACGGCCCCAAGCACATCCCCCGCTGACTCTCTGGACAACCCTAACCACCACTGCATCCTGACAATGGTTCTCCATTTTACTTCTTTCTAGAGTGGCTGACTGTGGGGCTCTCCTCAGGGTCATGGCCCAACGGAAGCAACCTGTTGTCTACCCTGGACTCCCTGTTCCGCGCTTCCTCCGAGGCTGACCAGAAACACTTCACAGTGCTGGTCCACCTGGCTGATTCTGACCTCACCTGGCTCAACAAAACCGTCGATGGTATTTTAAACCTCTTCAGCTCACAGATCTTGGCAAGGCAATTGCTACTGATCCACGCTCCACCTGACGTCTACCCCCCTGTGGATGGCACCAGGGATGACGGCGTGCCTCGGGAATTCTACTCCAAGCAGAACGTGGATCATGCCTTCCTCATGAGCTACGCAGCAAACCTCTCTGATTACTTCCTCCTACTAGCTGACAACGTGTTTTGTGGCCCCAAATTTGTCAACCACATTCAGCGGCAGGTGACCAAAATGAAGTCCCACCCATGGATTCTACTGGAGTTCTCTAACATGGGCTTCCTGGGAAAACTCTTTCACAGCAGAGACCTCCCACTCCTTGCCCAGTTCCTGCTCCTCTTCCACGCGGAGAAGCCCCTGGAAAGGTTGATCCCTCACTTCTGTGCCCTTTCCGTTCCGAAGAAACCGATCCTCTGCCCGCCGTTCCTCTTCTACCCGAGGGCCTCTTACATGACCTCAGATGGCAACAAGAGCTCAGCAGTTAAGGCAAAGGACTCTCACGGCCCTGACAATCCACCTGGGACCATTTTCACGGATATGACGGGTTCTGACGTTCATTTCCCCTGGGAGGCCTACAGTCTGGAGGAGTCATTCTTTTGGACAAGCAATGTCAGTCTAGGGAACCACCTGACCGTGCTTTTGAGCAGGTCTGTGAACCTGGCGAGAGTGCAGGTGCTGACAGGTTCCATAGTGGATGGAGAAGGGGCCTTAGAGAAAGGGCAAGTAGAGTTGGGCTATGGCCTTGAGGGAGTGCCACAGTACTGTAGCAAGTTCATCTTGCTGGGCCAACTCTTGGAAGGGCAGTTGGATCAGGAAGTGTTTCCAAAAACGATGAGGCAAGACGTGAGCTGTGTGAGGCTGGTGGTGAAAGCTAGTCAGGTGGGTGGGCTCATGATCAGGCATATCTACCTCTGGGAGGACAAGGACAAGGAAAAGGCCCCCCCAAAAGAGGCAAAAATAAACCAGTAAGGGTGGGAAAAATTAAATGTCAAATCCATTTCATTCCAGCTTATCTGAGTGTGTGATGGGAGTGGCAAGCGGAGGAGGGAAAGAGGGACAGCCATTCATGATTCTTTGGGTGCATCCAAGACGGTAGGAGACCCGTTCCATCTGTCTCCCCAAACAGGTTCCTCTCCCCGGCAGTCCTTAGCGGGGGCCCACATAACTTAGCCCAAGGTGAGGAAAGGCCTGTCGCTCCCTCCAGTTTAGATTCCTGGATTGAGCACAAATACAGGGTGTTTGTGTGCGTGTGTGTGTGTGTTTACCAAAGGATTGGGGCAGGGGAGGACTAGGTGTAAGGGAGTAGCAGGAGGGTCAGCCTACTTTATTTTGACGGAACTGCATGGCTAGGCTTTAAGAGAATCAGGGAAAGTACCTAGAGTTGACATTAGGCATTGTGTTAGGCCAAGTTGTCTAGAGAAACCAATCCAGTCCTATATATGTAAGAAAGAACTTTATACCAGGAAATAACTATCTATCAAGAAGGCATCCCAGCCCATTCCAACTTGAATCCCTGAGTCCCAGGCGAGTCTATAAGTCCCTCTTCAGACTCCTGTGGCTGCAGGCTGGTGACACAGAAAGGCGAGGCAGGAATCAGGAGGATCACAGGCAGAGTCGTGTGGACGCAAGGTCGGTGGAAACGTGGCAGGGCGCTGACAGCTGTCAGGGTTGGGCAGCCCACAAGGGACAGACCTTGGAGACAGACACAGAGTCCCAGTGAGGAGGATGGTGACATGGCAGAGAGAGAGGTATAGGAGAGACCACACCCCCAAAGGGGTGTCATCAAGCTACCACTTGATGGGCCGGTTTGACTCCACCCTTAGCCAGGAGCGTCTACTCGACCTAAAATCATCCAACTACCACTGAGTTCAACTCCCTGAAGTTGGTTAGACTAATAGCCATAAAACCGATTCTGAACTTTTTCCTTCTGAACTCTTTCCCAGTGCTAATCTAGTTCTTTCTTCAACCAACCAACTGGGGGATAAATAGTGACTAACCACGTCTCATTCTCTCATCAGCCATCCATTCTATAACTCCCCCTCTGGCTTCTATACCCACACTACTACTGTATTATATTTTCACTATAATGACAAAAATAGTCAAAACCCACGGCCTATTCCTAGATGCATTCTCAATTCTCTTTCTGCAAGGCACATGGATGTCTCCCTTCTGGAAACTGCCGTCTTCCTTGACTTCTGCAATTCAGCCATTAGAGAGCTACTCTGTGCCTATTATGTACTAGCCACAAAAGCCCTCTCCTAGAAGATGCTTTGTGGGGGGATGCAGGGCAAGTGCGTCCTAAGCATCATGTTGAGGTGAAGCACACAGTCCTTTGGGAGCACGGAATGCTGGTCCCAACCCATTTGGGGGTGCTTATGGAAAACATTTTGGCAGATGTGACATGAAGTCTAGACTGTGGTCAAGCACTTAGAGAATCTATCCAGGTGATGTGGGAAGAGAGAGGAGAGGTTTGGGAGAAGACACATGCAGAGAGGGAGGGCAGAGGGAGAGAGAACTTACATGGGAAAGCACAAGCCCTGTACTGGGGAGGGTAAGCTAGAGAGGGTGTGGAACAGGAGACGAAGTCACAGGCCATGGAACCAGGTTATGAAAGGGCATAGACAATTTAATGAAAGAAATAATCTTTTTTTTTTAAGTGGTACTAAGACAACTAGAGAACCACGTGCTAAAAGAATAAAGTTGGGCCTTCATCCTATGTAAAAACGAACCACCATCACCATAGTGAATGATGGGGGCAGTGCGGAGTGGAGATCCAAAGCCCATTAGTAGGCCACTGGAGATCCCCTTGCAGAGGGGTCTCGGGGAGGAGATGAGCCAGTCAGGGTGCGATGCAACAACGATGAGAAATACAACTTTCCTCTAGTTCCTAAATGTTTCCTCCCCGCTCCCACTACCATGACTCGAATTCTATCTTGCAAGACTGGCTAGACCAGAGGAGGTACACTGGTACAGATAGGAACTGAAAATACAGGGAATCCAGGATGGATGAGCCCTATAGGACCAGTGGTGTGAGTGGCAAAACAGGGAGGGTAAAGGGAGAATGGGTAGGAAAGAGGGAACCGATTACATGGAACTGTGTGTGACCTCCTCCCTGGGGGACAGACAACCGAAAAGTGGGTGAAGGGAGAAGTCGGACAGGGCAAGATATGACAAAATACCCATTTATAAACTATCAAGGGCTCATGTGGGAGGGGGGAGCGGGGAGGGAGGGGAAAAATGAGGACCTAATGTCGGGGGTTTAAATGGAGAGAAAATGTTTTGAGAAATGATGTACAAATACGCTTTACACAATTGATGTGTGTATGGATTGGGATAACAGTTGTATGAGCCCCTAATAAAATGTTTAAAAAAAAAAAAAGAAAAGAAAAGATGCAAATAAGACCTGAAAACAAACAAACAAACAAAAAAAAAAACGAACCACCAAACAGATCATGAGCCTAAATACAAGAGCTAATCATCATGATCTTAGAGTAGGTAATGGTTTCTTAGGTATCATATCAAAAGTTATAAAAGATAAACTGGACTTAATCAAAGTTTTACAACGTTGTTTGTGCTTCAAGGGACATGATTAAGAAAGACAAGTCAAAGAACATCAAGAAAGTGTAATGACACCTCACAGCGAGCTGGAAATGTGAGGGACTGGTGCCCAGAATACTTACAGAGCTCTTAAAGCCAATAATAAAAAGATAAATAATCTTGTTTTAAGATGGACAAAGGCAAAAAAAAAAGAAAATAATAATTTATAATTTATCAAAGGGTCACAAGGGTAGGAGGAGGAGAGGGAGGGGAAAAAGAGGAGCTGATTCCAAGGGCTCAAATAGAAAATAAATGTTTAGAAAATAATGCTGGCAACATACGTATAAATATGCTTAATACAATTGGTGTACCGAATGTTATAAGAGCTATAAGAGCAAAAACAAAAAAAGAGCTATAAGAGTCCCCAATGAAATGATCTTTTAATATAAATAAAATCTTTTAAAAATGGACAAAGGCTTTGAGGAGGTAGACATTTCTCCAAAGAAGACATTCAACAGGCCACTAGGCGCACAAGCAGATGTTCAGCATGAGTCATTAGGGAAATGCAATTAAAACCACGAAAGGTACTTCAGACCAACTAGGCTGTGTTAGGCTGGGTTGACTGGAGAAACAAATCCAGAGACACTCATCTGTGTGTAAGAAAGAGCTTTATGTCAAGAAGTAATCGTCTATCCGGAAACCATCCCAGCCCAGACCAACTCAACTCCATAAGTCCGATACTAGCCCCTATATCTGATACCAGCCTATAAGTCCCTCTTCAGACTCACGAAGTCACATGCAATGATGTTCCAGCATGCAGGAACACCGCTGGCCGGTGGGTGCAGAGTCCCTCGGATGCAATGGCAGTGGCTCTGGCAATTCTCCAAGATATTTAACAGCAGGAAGGTCAAGGCAGGGAAAGAGAGAGCAGGGGGCCGGCCTCCAGCAAGTCATTTAATTCGGTTGCTCCTCCAAATGAGGTCACCAAGCTGGCACCTGATTGACAGGCTAGACTCCACCCCTACACTTTATTAAGCTGACACGCAATTCTGTAGCCACCACATAGGCTGTCTAAAACCCTACCCCCAAAGGCAGTAAGTGAAGTGAGGATGTCCAGAGATTGGATCTTGCCTCATGCAGGGTAGGCTCATAAAATGGTCCAGCCCCTTTGGAAAACTAGTTTTTCCACAGAAATAGTGGCCAAGGGCATGGGGGGAGGGAAAACAGTGACTGCTGATGGGTGCAGGGTTTCTCTTTAAAGTGATGGACACTAAAACTGGTTCTCAACCTTCCTCAGGCCGCGACCCTTGAATACAGTTCTTCATGTGGTGGTGACCCCCAACCCTAAAATTATTTTTGTTGCTACTTTATAACTAATTTTGCTACTGTTATGAATTGGGTGACCCCTGTGAAAGGGTTGTTTGAACCCCCCAAAGGGGTCACAATCTCAGGTTTGAACTGTGGTGATGTTTGTACAACTTTGTGAATATACTTAAACACCCTTGACTTGTACACTTTAAAAGAGTGAATGTTGTGGCAGGTGGATTATACCTCCCCAGCCCAAATGGGAAACTCACTGTCAAGTCCATTCTGTCTCACGGCAACCCCAGGTAGGGTTTCTAAGGCTGTAAATCTTTATGGGAGCAAATTGCCTCATCTTTCTCCTTCAGAGTGGCTGGTGGGCTTGAACCATGCACCCACAGCACTGAAAAAGCCAGTTAAAAGGTCTGCTTCTGTCAACAGATAAGCCCAAATCCAAACACACTGCCATCAAGTTGATGCCAACATGATCGTACAACCCTACAGGAGAGGGTAGAACTGCCCCAGTGGGCTCCTGAGGCCGTCACTGTTTATGGGGGCAGAAAGCCCCATCTTTCTCCCATGGATCAGGCTGGTGGTTTTTGAACTGCTAACCTTTTGGATCTTAGCCATGAACCCAAGATCTTGACATGTTTTTTAAAGAGCAATCTGTGAAGCCCTTGCAACAGAGTCCCTTGGGAATGCTTGTTTAAAGTGCTTTGACTAAATCTTGCTCACTCAATAATCAAGGTTTCTTCTGCTCTGGTTTCCACTGGATTTTCATATAGATAGGTCTCTTAGGCTCAGAGCTCTGGTGGCTTAGAGGGGTAGGCATTGGGCTGCTAACCTCAAGGTCAGCAGTTCAAACCCACCAGTTGCTCCCTGGAATAAAAGGGAAACCCTAAGGAGTTTGTCCTATAAGGTAGCGTGGAGCCAGCATCAACTGGAGGGCAGTGAGTTGGGGTTGGGTCTTGCTTGAGAAGAGGGAGGAGGTGTCCAGAGCCCTCAGGGCAGGCTTTACCTCCTCACATTTTTGATAGTCAACACACATGCTCTCAAAAGATGAGTAGAAATTTGGCAGGGAAGAGGATTCCAGCCAAAGTGTGAGCAGCAAAGAGCGCAGGTGTGGGCCC